ACACACACACTCACACACACACACAAACACACACACGCACACACCTCAACACCGCTACACAGTCACTTAGATATAATGAACTTCCGGCTCTAGTCTGACAGCTACATGAACTTCCGGTTTTGAGCTACCTCCAGCCATTTTACCTGCTGTTCTGACGCACTGTTGGGAGTTTTTTTCCTTATTTGTTGTTTCAGAATACAAAACAGAGGTAGTACATTTTAACAGAATTTCTTGAGACATTCTAAAGTTACAGAGCCTCCCATGGACTAAAGTTGCAAAATTAAAAATAGTGTGACCTTTTGTGTACTCAATGCGATGTCTCAACTCTCCGTGTCTCGTGCTCCATCTCTATCTGTCTGTTTTTTGTCCCTACGTCTGTCTTTCTCTCTGTCTGTGTCTGTCTATCTATCTATCTATCTACCTATCTATCTATCTATCTATCTATCTATCTATCTATCTATCTATCTATCTATCTATCTGTCCATCTATCTATCTATCTATCTATCTATCTATCTATATTTAATTGTCTATTTATTGATATGTTAGTTTATCTATCTAACTACCTATCTCCCTCTGTCTCTGTATTTCTCTCTATCTCTTACTCCCTGAATGTCTTCCCCAGACTGGAATCCATCTCATTATGTCTTTTACGCGCATCTACAAAAAGCATGCTTATATCACAACTGGCGAAAGTTGACTCACAGTAAGTTCTTTTTAAAGATTTAACATTTCTCACGGCTCACACTTTTTTGCAAGAATGTAGTATTTGAGTGTAATTGCTGAACTGAACACTTTGCTCTAACATAAACATTCGCAAAAGAAAAACGTTTCTTTCTTTTGATAATTCGCGCCATCAAAGGAATTAGTTGAAATCCCTCAAGGCCTAATTTTGTTAACGCCAAATTGCCTTAGGCTCCAATTAAAAATTTTAATAAAAAATAAAAGTTCACGGTAGTTTTTAAGTTCGGAAGCTGTAAATGATTTTCATGGGTCAGTGCCCGTGTTGTTTCTGTGGCAAGAAAACGAAAACGTCGGTGAACTGTGAAAAAAAACCACTGTAAAAATAATGCATCAATAATAATATTCATAATAATAAGCACAGTGTCTTAATAAATATGTTTCATAATATTTTCTGAGATAATTCACATTTTGTGCTGCACGGTTCATTGAAATGAATCGAGGTGCACAGTTATAGGATAATATAATGTACAGACTATAAAGTACAAACACACTGGTGAACTTTCAAGTAGAGAGAGAAAGAGATAAAGGGGAGAAAGAGACAGACAGACAGACAGACAGACAGACAGACAGACAGACAGACAAACAGACAGACAGACAGA